TCTCCAAATATGTATACGAGATGCTATAAACGCATATTGTAAAAGTTAACTATAACCGAATAAAAGAAGCCGGCCAAAAGGCCACCTTAACACCAAAAAAAAAAAAAAAAAAAAAAGACTGTAAGGCCTTTTGCTGTATAAAATTGCTGCTTCTCTTCATTTGAGAGAATAATTTCCAAATAAGTTCTTTTGTTTTTAGTTATTACTGGTTTTGCTATAACAAGATCATCTCTTATTTTGATTGCTAATATTTCTACTAGTTCAGCTATAGAGATATTTCCAAGATTATGAGTTTCAAAAATTAAGACAAATTTATTTTTAGTATAGATCCTTTTTCTGGAAGTATATGTTGAATATGTTGCTCTTCCTCTTTTGAGTTTAGCAAATAATTTTGACTACTGTTTGGGTTCTGGTTAACTATTTGCTCTTTTGAATTGATTATTCATATATTTGTTTATTTGTTTACATATTTCTATATGTTCTGTTTGTTTTGGTAGATCTTGACATATATCTACTATTGTTGTATTTTGTACTTCTTTTTTTTTAAGAGTAGAAATTTTCTTTCTTTGTTTTTGTTATTCATAACTATATTGGTTATGTCTTGTAACTTTAAATCTTCCTTGTCATAGGAATTGTTATTTATATTTTGATCTGTATGTTGACTTGTTTTAGCAAGTTCTAAAACCTTGTTGTGCTCATTTTGATTAAAAAAAGTATTGTTTTCTTTTGTATTAGAGGTTTTGATCTTTTTAATTTTCCTGTTCTGTTCTGTTGCTATGAAGCTTGATATGCTTAAGTATTCTTGTCTATATTTTCTAAAAACAAGAGTTTTAACCCTTGTTAGTAATTTGAAAATCAAGTGTTTAGTTTTGTTTGTTGTATTTTTTTTATACTTTCCACTAGTGTTGTATGTTTTGACTGTTCAAAAGCTTTTTTGGTATTGTCCAATGTCCAAGTATTCAAGTGTTCACAAGTGTTCAGAGCATGTTCAAGCTTTAATAATTAATAAATTTGTTTAAAAAATATATGATTATATATTTTTTTATATGCTAAACATATTTTATTTAAAAATTAATATAGGTTATCTTAATAAAATTTTAAGTAATTTTAATCTATTTAATTGTCCAAAATTGTTCAAAGTGTCTAAACTTACTATCCACAACTGTTCTGTGACAATATTGCTCTCCACTACCAAAATGGTGAAGAGAGAGAGAGAGAGATTTTTTTAGATGCTGGTTTTATAATCTACTTCCAATAATGAACTGCTAAATCCATATATAGTCTCCTGGTTACAAATTGTGACTTGTTTAACATGTTTTTATCCTTTACCTCCAGAGTCACATTTATTCAAACTTCTTTTGGGTCCAGTGTTTTTACCATGAAAAAGAGAACTCATATGCTTTTTCAATTCATGCTTATTAGCATAATGTCCTTTACTCTTACACAAATAACTTACAACTTGCTTAAAAGATACTAATCTATTAAACATGCTTGTATTTTTATATAAAGCTTCAGATAAATCACACAACAAAAGCTGCTTATATGCGCCAACCCTAGGATTTGAAGATCAAGAATTATGAAAAGGTTGCCAGCTCATGAAAGAAAAACCAGACAGATTATACAAAGGTGTCTTATCCCAATAATTATTTATTAAAAAGAAAAGAAACATTCTCTAAGAAGAATCTGTTACCAATTCAGATAGACAAATGGTTGAGGTTGAATAAACAAAGGCATATACAAGCTTGAAACTTGAACCTGAGCAGAATCCTACTAATTATTTGAGTTATTTCTCCTGTAAGACACCTTAGAATATTTGTTTCTTGGAAATTGCTATGCTACCATTCTTGCTCTTTCATACTTTCTACTGAACAGCTCTGATATTAGATCTAGCATATCACCTGATACCATTCTCACAACCACATTCCAACCATCCTTGTCAGCTACCTTAACCACATAAACTCTTTCCAGCACTACTTGTCTTGCTAGTTGAACATAATTAATATCATCTGTATAGAGAGCTTTATCTAACAACAAACTCGCCTTGCACCACTCATTATATTCCCATTGATTCCTTGCTTTTGCCAGCTCTCACTTTCTCCATAAGCCTTTCTGTAAATCTCAATTCAAAGACATATCATTTGCCAAAAAAAGTATACGTGGAGAAGATAGAATATTACATCTGTTTGTTACCAAATTCTCAGAATCTACCAGAACATTATTAAAAGTATTGGCAAAGGCTTTTTTAAAGCTGAGCTTACTGCCTTCTCCAGGAACCTCCTTCATATCACTATCAATATCAACAACTTTTTCTTTAACAGAGATATCTGAATTTGACAAAACATACCTCTTCCTACTTTCATTAACTAAACAGCTCACTAAATCTTGCTTCGAACCTGTCTCAGAAACACCCATTTCATGACATAAAAACTTTAATATTTCTACTGACATATGGCTAAAATTAGCTTCAAAATTAGTCTGGCCCGATTTCTGGACCATCTCAATATCATTCTTATATATTAACTCAATATCGCTATTAGTAAATGATGATTCATCCTTAACAGTAACTTATTTATTAAGAGTATTCATAGCTAAAACTTGCTTGATATAACTAGATCGAATATTGGGTTTTGCAAAAGAAACAAGGCTATCTTACTTACATATCTTATCGACCCTAATATATACTCAATGATTACTCACCAATTATTCAAGTTATCCATTTATACTATACTGATCGATTACTTACTAATTACCTCATAGTCATACTAAACACTTAAACTATCAAATGCCTAAAGTGACAATTTTAATCTTTAAATCAAACAATCGATCGAACATGTGACTATAATCAGGGCATGTCACATGTCTGAACCCAATTTGATTTGAGACAAGCACTGCCTCAATACTTACGTATTGAGCAGTTATAATTACTGATTTTCAATTACTGATTTCCGATTTCTTCATTTTTTTTTGACTTTTAGACTTGACAAAATTTGTGCATTTATTATTTGTAAAAATTTGATTGAATATTTTAATTCGCAACTCCTATTTCAGCAAATATATTACAAAATGATGAGCATGCAACTTTTATTTCTATACAAAATAATAACTGCACAAATTTTGTCTAATCTAAAAGTCAAAAAATGTTAAAATCAAAAATTAGTAGTGATTACTTTTTTTTAATGATCTTTAAATTTTATATAATTTTGCAAACTGCAAA